TGAAACACAAAACCAACTGGTCATCTTAAACAGTTTAAAATGGAAACTTTCTGTCCAGCTCTAGGTATTGTTCAATCTCTCTCTCTGAATGTTTATGAAGAGTACCTTCTCCCTTCTCCATCATTACATCCTGTAGTCCTTTTGCAATGGGGATTTAGACTTCAATCTAGATGATCAAGTCAAAGTCAGAGTGAAGAAAATTCTTTCTCTGAATGGTTGTAAACTCTTCGCTGTTTCTCGTCTCTGTCTTATTTATTTATTTATTTATTAATCCAATCACAGAATTCAGACGGGGAAAATACAGCATGTTGCCAAAATCACATAAATTTTAATGGGTTTCCTGTTCACTTAACCCCACATCAACAGTGTGACCTTGCTAGCCTGAACCATGAACCACTAGGGTGGGGAGGCCAAGAGCAGGGTGGATCTGGACTCACTCCAGTACAGATTGCACAAAGGGAAACGTGGGATGTTTCGTGGGATATTTTTGAAAACATTGGGTGTCTTTTTCAAGACACTTGTGCCCTAATTATATGGACGGTGGCAATAGATTTGGTAACCAGTCAGCAACTACCCCCAACAAGACTAACACACAATTAGTACTTGGGAAGTAAATGTTACTTCAACTCTAACTACTATACTAGTCCACATTTCTTCAACATATCCTGAATTTTTATATGGCCTGCATGTCCAGGATATTTACACACTTCAAAGTCCTTAATGTATTTGTCCTGCAAGGCAGAGAATTCTAATTATTGTTAGCAGGAAGGAAATTGAGGAATATCAAAAGACTTAAGAAAAAAAAATAAAGGTGTTCTAGTGTTGCAAGACTTAGAGGCACGTACTGTTAGTCCAGAAAGGACAAACGTGATGATCTTCTCTGACCTCTTGTACAACGTAGGCCATGTAACTTCCCCAAACCAGTTCATTTTAAGTAGAACAAATCTTTTAGAAAAACATCCCATCTTGATTTTAGAATTTCCACTGGTGGAGAAAGTGCCACAACCCTTGGTAATTTGCTCCAAAGGTTAATTGCACTCCCTGAGAAAAATGTGCACCTGATTTTTAATCTGAATTTGTCCCTATAAAACTTCCAACCTTCAGAGCCTGTTATTTTACTGACTGAAGAGCCTTCATTTTAAAAATTACATTCCCCATGGAGGCAATTAGTGTGGGATTATCTCATTTAACTTTAACCACACAAAAATGAAGCATCTTGTCTCACCTAGTGTTTGGGGATCCTCCTGTAATCAACTGAGAGAAAAAGACACTACCAGAAGGCAATTCATTGCAGCTATCTCCATATGGGATTGGTTGCCCACTGGAGATATCTAACTTCTGCATTGAATGCATAAGGGTAACAAAGCAGTGAGCCTAGATTATATTCCTAGCTTTAAGGTGGGGAAAGTTGGATAAAAGAAATCCCTTAATTTTGGGTTGTGATCAGCTCACCTCATTAGTTATCTATTTACTGGGCAAAACACTGCGCTCATTAAGCTCTTCATGATGAATCTCCTCTTTGAGTTCCTTGCCCGTTCTTGGGGGTTTTCTGAAGGTTTTTTTTCTCTCTCAATGCTCCTCCATTTATCAGTGCCCTTCTTGAGCTGGGACTCAGGATAGGACCCTGTGCTCCCAAAGAGGTGGCATTGATGCCAGTATCAGTGGTGAAATAAATCCACTTTGCTCAGATCTTACATTTGCTGCTAAACATTCAGTGATTACCGCTTCTAGGCACCACACTGCGCTGGAAGCTTCTCTTTTGCTCATTATCCACCCATAATGAGTCCTAAGCCTTTTAAACAGTCACACCTAGAACAAATGAAGTCCTGTAAAGGCTTACCTTTGCTGTTTCTAGACAGAAAACTTTAGAGTTTGGCCAGTTTTCCAAAACAACTAGCTTGCTGTTTATCAACCACACATTCATTTTATTGTTGTCAACTCTCTGAGTGTTCGCATGGTCTGTAAGTATTACCTATAGAGACAGCTTTTTTTTTTTTTTTTTTTCAGGACATGGTTAGGAATGTTAAACAGCTTTGCATCCAGAACCTTTCTCTGCAGGACTCCAATAGAAACACACCTGCTTAATGACGCTTTCCCATTTACAATTGCACATCGAGATGTACCAATTAGCTGTTTTTTAATTCATTTGATGTTTGCTGCAATGATTTTGTAGCATTCTCATTTCTTAATCAAAATGTCAGGTGGTACCAAGTCAAATGCCTTACAGAAATCTAAGTACATTACATCAGTGCTATTACCTTTCTCAACCAAGCTTATAATCTCATAAAAATGATATCAAGCTAGTTTGACAAGATCTATTTTCCACAAACCCATGTTGAAAGGCATTAATTATATTACCTTCCTTTAATTCCTTATTAATCAAGTCTCATATCAGCTGTTCCAGTATTTTGCCTAGGATCAATGTCAGGTTGACAGGCCTATAATTACTCAAGTCATCCTGTTTAACCTTTTTAAATATTGGCTCTATATAGGCTTTCTTCTAGCCTTCTGGAACCTCCCCAGGGCACCAAGATTTGTTGAAAATCATCATTAATGGTTCAGAGAGCTCCTTTGCTAGATCTTTTAAAATTCTTGGTTAGCTTCTGTAGTCTCTGTTATGACCATATGTCATTATTGCTGGGGGAAAAAAAAAAATGTCTGGAAGCTTCGCAAGATATTTAACATATCTTCCAGTATTCAAATGCCTGCTCAAGCTTGGCTGGCAGTGAGCTGCTCAAAGAAAGGAAAAACACAGAAATACAAATGCATTTTTCCTCCCTGCCCGGGTCACTGTAAATACCACTTACTCACATGAGAGCCTATAAATTCACATGAACACTTTCCACATAGCCCTGCCTTGAATAAAGCCATCGTCTGACCCCACCGCAGTCTCACAAATAGTGGCAGGCACTTCCAAGGAGCGTCACAAATTTCTTCCAAGAAGCTTTGCTAGTACTGCAGTGCAAGCCTGGTCTTACACTCTGCTACATCCACCGATATTCAGTACCCTTCACCCTTTTGGGGTGTGGAGGTTTCCCTCTATATGCATCAATGCATATAATTCAGGCTGTGGATGGACCCCAGCAATCTGACTAGTACAATTAAGTTTGAAAATACTTGATTCTGATCATTTCTATGTGATAGAAAAGGGACTAGCTTCTGCATATATTAATTACTGTCTGAGCAAACAGCACATACAAGGAAATGGAAAAAAAAAAATATGCACTGGTTGTTATTTTTTAATACAGAAATATTCCAAATATTCGGTTGTAAGATATGTTTCCAAAACACTACAACTTACAAATTGACACTGCAACCTTATCAGCAGTGGCTATTGCATTATTTTGATAAGGGAACTGATGCTTTTGTTAGAGTCATTAAAAATACCATAACAAAAGTGTATCCTGTTGTAATTTTTAAATTTCTTCACTTAAGTCCAGTTTTAGTACTCAGAATATTTTGTTTTGTGGGTACCCAGACCATCTTCCGATGGACTGAAGAGCAGGTATGTCTGTGTTCCCATTCTCTTTGAACTAGCAGCTTCTGTGTAGCAGGCAGAAGGAGTGTTTTTAATTCTAAGTGGGCATGCCTAATTTAACTCTGCTGGTCATTTAGCTAAGTTGTGCACTGAGATTTTTTTGTGAACAAGTAATAAAATGCATGGACAATTTTCCACATAAACATTTTCTGAGTTACTTGCATACCATCTGAATTCTCTACATGTTCCTTCTAACAGATGAAGCCCCTAAAGTTTTTGTTTCTGTTGGTTTTGGTATTTTGTTCAGGTATCCTTGAGATTAGTTAATGAATTAATTATTTTCTAAATTGCCCTGTGCCAATGCAGCTCATAGTCAGGAAGCATGAAGGTAGGGTTGGTTGAAAAGCTGACTGAAATAAGCAGTCTGTTCAGATGTGTGTGTGTACATAACAGATACAGTAGCTAGATATGGATTTATCTATCTGTAAATTTATATATGTGTGTAGACATGTCAGTTGCTTAGATTATTATTTGGATAGAGAGAGAAGAAAATCACCTCAAATTTAGAAGGGAAATGCTACCATAAAAATTGATGAATATTTTAAAATTAATTCTTAACATTGAATTGTAAAGGTGTGTTAAGTAAAAGAAGATGACATTAAAAGTATTGTACTTTTAAAGTAAAAAAATAAAAATAAAGGCATCCTCTTAGCTAATGTTGCACATCTGGCTGCCTCACTGCAGAAAGATGCAGCAGGAAGAATCATTGCCAAGAATGGCAATAAAAGTGTTTAGATGCATGGGCCTCCTTCCTTCTGTACTTCATGTTAGTCTACATGAAGATGAGCAGAAGTGTATGGATTAATGACTAATCTACATGAGATAAGTCTGAGGCTCCTAAATAAACTAATGCAGTAAAGGTAAAAATGGAAGCACAACTGTTTTACATATCATATATTTAACCTATGCAACGATAACAGAGAAGATGGTTATAAAGGCAGTAATGGGACACTAATAATGACAAGAGCTGAATTACCACCAGCAGTTACAGAAAATTATATGAACACCTAAATATTAAACTAGGGAACTTTTCCTTGGTATCCACATGTGGCAGTTTAGTTTTTTTCCAGAGCTGTTTGTACCCTTGTTGGAGGCAAAATATCTAACCTGATAAACTGTACTTATCCAAAACTATTTCCTATGAGATAAATTTCTGCTGCTCACCCAGTACCACATCGCTAAAAGCGTACAGTTACTTCACATTTACCTGTTACCTGAGCCAAAGCTCTGCAGTAACAGTGCTCCCTTTATTGAAGGAGCATCGTTAACACTGCAGTTAGCTCAGGGCAGCAGACATACCTGGGAAGCAGTGGGTACCGTGAGCTGAGCAGACCACGTGTCAATGTTGGCACTTTCTTGTTTACAAAATGCATCAGTCACAAATAAAAGTTGCTGTTTTCAAAAGCTTTGCTTTGGCAATTCACACATGTGGAATAACAGTCGCAAACCATAAATGTCATACCTTTGTCACCAGGATTTGAAGAATTCTGCAGGGTTCCTGCTTGGATGCAAATCCCAGTAGTCACACCTCCTGCGATTCACATCAAATAAACTTTGAACAAGGTTTTGATTTTGGCAGCTGCTCTCAAGGCTAAACTTTCTTTCAACTCTTGCCATCCCAGTTTGGGGAAAGCTCTGCTTCTTCTGCACAGAGGTCTTGGCTTCCATCTTCCCTGCAACCCTGCCTTTGAAACCTATCAGGGAAACTGAAAGTTAGTGCAAAGCCTTTCTTCCAAAGGTGAGTCCCTTTCCTGATTTCCAGTAACTGCTAGTACCTTGTGACATGCTGACAAAGTTTGCCTTTTCCCACAAACACCTCAGAATAATGAGATGTGTCAAACTAAACAACATTTGCCTTTTGTCAAGCATAATCTTTATTTTTTAATGTTTTATGTCTTTCGGGGCTCCTGGGAAGAGCCAGGTTGGCAGCCCAAGCTCAGCTCCACATACCAGCTACAGTCAGGCTGCTGCCAAAGGAGCTCCTCCACATGGTCCCACACCTGTCCCTAATGTGGAGGGGAGAGCAGGGACCACTGGACAGTGTTTCTCCTATGTCTCTTCACCCCACAGGCTGTCATCCACATGCTGTAGGGGCAGAAACCCCTCTGCACCGCTGCGGACCAAATCATACACGTCCCTTCCAACAGGACTAGGACTGAGTCTGAGGAGCAACCTCTCACCAGGAGCTGTGCAGGGAATCCTGCTGCAGAGGCTGGGAGCTGTCACCCACCCCCAGAGGCAGAAGGATGGAGGAATCACAGTAACCTTGATGGGAATCTCAAAAAAAAAAAAAAAAAAAAAAAAACAGTGCTGGGGAAATTTGGCAAGACATGGAAGTCTGCACAAAACACCTCTCGCCCCTAGATCCCCACCTGTCTGCAGGCTTCTTGTTCCTCCTCCAGAAGAAAACAAAATGTTAAAAGAAACAAGTTCACTTCAGTTCAAGTTTCCTCCTCTGCTATTTTTCTTGTCCTTCAGGCTGGCACTGTTCAGCCTCTGCGTTCAAGCACCACGCGTTCCCTCTAGAGCACAGTTAAGAAGCGCACACATGATCATTTAAGTGCACACTTTACTTATCTATCCTTAAGAACACAAAATAGACCGAGGAAAAAAAGACGATGTCTGTATGCTCATTAAAACACTTCCAGCCCAGGGCAAGGATTTGATCAAAAGGATTCCTACCAATGGAAGGGCATGCTAGAGCCATTGTAAGAAGTTGTGTGCGAGCGTCCGCGTTCCTTTCCTTTTCTTTCTTGTGCCCTGTCCCTTCCACTGCCACCTCCAATCTCTTTTCTTCCAGCTGGGGGAACAGAAGAGATTTCAATTCCTTGATGACAATTGTGTCCTTTGAGCAGCCAAAGCAAAAGGCACTTTGAGTTCAAATGAGACTGTGACTTAAACCAATATTAGCCAAGACCAACACATGTTTATTGTAATATAAGTAACCTTCATTCTGATCAGCAGGTTTTCCTCACCCCACTGCAGTTTTACTCATTGCCTCTTTTATTCTTCCGAAATGAATAAATGAAATGGCTGCACATTTTTATTCACAGCAGTGGGTTTTAGAACTTCAAATCAGAGAGGCGTTTTGATTTCAGAAATAAACTCCAGAGGAAACAGTTTCAACCAGAACTTTCATTTATTTTTTTTTTAACCAGTTTAAGGTAACATCAAAACTCACCTTTCCAAAAAAATGAAACCTCACAGCATTCTTTTAATCCAAATTAAATAAAGTGTCATCCCTGTGTCCTCTTCCTTCATATTTAGAGGGAAAGAAAACTATCCTGCCCATACTTTAATGGTTTTGTCTGCAAATCCTAAATGCTCTGCTGCTTCAAATTTCAAATGATCTTATACAGCCAAAGTCTCTTTGGTGTCAGCAGCTGCCCAGGTAGCAACACAACCACGAGAACGCTGCTGATCAGAACAATGAATGCCTGATCTACAGATGTCATATCAAGGTAGAAATCTTGATGAGCATTGTAGTGACATTACAAAGTGGATTACACATGCTGTATCTGGGTCAGAGAAGGAGTTATTTCAGTAAGGTCAACAAAGTGCTTCTGACCAAACTTATTTTTCTACATTTAGAGAGAGATGCTTCTGTTTGTTTCTTCACATTAGATTTAATAACAATATTGTCTCTGTACTTCTGTATCAGTTTGCAAGCAAAGTTAAAAGGAAGGCAAACCAGCCCCATGCCTGGTGTTGCATAATTTCAGATGCCAGGTACAGCTCCCTGGTCTTCTCCCCTTTGTGGCCAGGGGCCCAGCCACTGTGTCCTAGGCTCTTAAGTGAGCTATGTGTTTAAGGGGTCTGTCCCTCAGTTTGTTCCTACCCTCCTTCCCCACCCAGCGTGAGGATACAGGTAGAACCTCCTTGCTTTCCAGCTGTGTTGAGTGTTGAGGAAGCAAATACAGCAAGGCTGTAAGGTCCTCAGGTACTCCAGCCCAGTGGCTGTGCAAGTCCCAAAATACCTAACTTCGAATGTTTGAGGCTCTGTGTAGTGAACACCTCACTGTACAGCACACAAGACACATCATCTTGAGCCACCTTTCCCAGAAATGGACAATAGCCCAAAGGCTAGGGGAACTCATCTAGATGGCAGACAGGAGATGAGGTTGCTCTGTTCTGGGAACAGAACAGTTCAAATCTGTTGGCTTACAGCACTGTGGATGCGAGGTAGGAATACCTGCTTTGTGAGTTTTTTTTGGCTGTCCCAACTTCTTTTCTCATTTTAAACTTAAAGACTTTTTTTCTTTTATTCTTATGGAATTTAATACAAACCATATATACATGTATATATATGTGCTCCCCACCACCACATATATATGCGGTGGTAGGGATCCTGGGGTGGTCAGACTGGCAAGCAGCAGGCAAAAACTTCCCACCCAAGGCTGTCAGCACAGCATAGATTTGGGGAACCATCCCAGGAGGTCCCATCCAGTGAAGGACATTCTGGAGCCTGTGCCCATGTTGTGCCCCGGCTGTACCTCAGGGTGCAGGGCTGAGGGGACTCTGCTCTGCTTCACCTGGACCCAGAAGCTTGGGTGCTCATCAGAGAAGGCACCCCAGAGAAACGCCCAGCTTTGGTCCATGCCAGTGAATTTGAAAGACTGTGAAGTCGCTCAGCAGACTAACAGGTAATATAATGGTGCAGTTGCACTCTCTATGAGCCACCGGTATGGTTTTGTGCTGATTACTAATAGTCAGCCAGCTGTATTGACTTTGATACATGTCCTCTGCACTGCAATAGGTGGCCTAAAACAGTAGAGGCAGACCTTAAACTGAAGCATGGGGCAAGCTCTAAATAACTTTAAACTAAGACTGTGAACAGAACCTCTTCCAACGGTGTTCATTTTTATTTGTTTTTAAAAAGAAAAAATAACTGGGGGGTACTTACTTGAGGTATTGGGAATCCTAACGTCACAAGTCCACACGCTAAGTCTGTAACTGAATGCTGAATTTTCAAGACTGTAGAATTGAAAAAAAAAATATATATATATATATATTATATATATAAAAAGCTGAGAAAAATTGTTGAAGAGTTTAAATAATTGAAAGTAAACAAAATTGTTTCTTTTTCCAGTTGCTATCCAACATATCAAAACCTGTAAAATCTCATGGTGATAATAAGAAGCGTATTCTGCATTTATTTCTCTGTGATGACTGTATGCTTCATTCAAGGGCAGCAGTACATGTATCAGACACATTAGATTCCTGACGGTATGATCCAACACCCATGGAGGACTACTAGGATTATCCCGTTGACTTCTACAGGCATTCCTTCAAGTTAATGTCCTCCTGGTGCTTAATTACCTTCTTTAATAGATAATTTTGAACAAACACCTTTGTTTCAAAACATTGATGGTGTTTTATAAAGAATGAGTTTATTTGCTTTTATTACAGTGTATGGTTCTTTTTCTATCAATGTGTTGTAATCCACAGTTTAACTCTGATGTTAAACAGTCAACTTATTTAAGTGGGAAAGAAAAGCACCCCCCCACACTTTGTTTTAATAAGGCTTTACCACATACATAAATAATGGCCACAATTTGTTTCCATTAGGAAGATAAGCTTTCTTCAAAGCAGTTCACTATTTAAGGCTTTAAATATTTCCAGCACTTGCACAAGGTTGCAACAAACCTTGACTTATTTACAGAGAGATGTTGAGTGGAGATAAAACCACTTAATAATCCACCAGTTCTTGCTAAACACATTTTCCTTCCATGCCCCCTCTGAAAGCAGGTAGGATAGCACTCTTATTTAGAATACTCTTAAATTACTTGGATATCCTTTTATTTTACTGAAAGCTCTTTGAACTAAAGGCTTTACAGAACAGTTTCAATAAATGTGGTTTATGGCTTTTCTTAACAAAATAATCCTGAAAGTGTTTAGGGTTAAAACCATTTCAAAATGATTGTACTCTAACAATAGAAGAATCAACAACAATAGCATAAACAAAACAAGATGTGCCTCTTTGAAGGAAAGTTGACCAGGTGGCCCCAGTGACAGAAAAAAAAACTTCTGATTTTGGGAACTTTTCTCAGATATGCAGCAGCAACAACAACAACCAACTGCCCCAAATGCCCCAACTTCTGAGGAGAAAATATTCCCATCAATAGAAACACCTGACCTCGGCACATCTGAGTGCATTCCAGCTTTTCTCTGTGTTTGTTCACAAGGACTGCGCTTGAGTGGACACCCGCTCACAACGAGACCTGACTCAGTAAAACTGATATATTGCCGCAGGGAGCCTAATGTATTTATCAAAATTTCCCCTTCCTTTGTGTTCAGCTGCTCCTTGAATGTCATAAGGTTGCCTTTTTTTTTTTTTTTTTAAGTGTTCGTTTCTTTTTATCATTGCATTTGGTGCAGTTCTCAGGCAGCCTTGCAGTATCTCTGTTCTCTCTTGAAACGTGTCACTACAAGTTGCCTTTTCAGCCCTGCTGCTGGCCTTGGAAGCCAAAGGAAAGTCTCCGTGTGCCTCTGTCAAGCTTTTGTTCCAGCTCTCGCTACCCCACTCCCAGTTGCACATCCCTGTCTCAGGATTTGTTTTATTATTTCAGTCACAGCACGCTTTCATCATAAATCTCTCTCTCTCACTGGAGCACCCGGCCCTATCCCTGCCCCGAGGGCACTGATGCTTCCCAGGAAGAGAGAAGGAAGTCTGCCTCCTTCTCCCTTACATCTTCATCTTCTCTCCCTGCAGGGTTATTGTGGTGACCTTCTACATGCCAAAACAGCCATCCAGGTGGTGAGAAAGTGAGCAGGGAACTCCAGCTCTGTGGTGGAAGTGGAAGTTCAGAAGTAAGGGAGAGTTGTGACTTGGCCTAACTTCAGGACTTAAATAGCTTAAGTAAGGGGTATATTCCCTGTGTGTGGCTGCTGGAGACCGCAGCAGGTGAGGCAGACCTCCGAACTCGGAGGAGTTCATGCCTCTTTATTAACCCTGCGGGAAATGTGGTGAACACCTGGAGTGTTACTCATCAAACACCTTGCACAGCTCCCTCCCCCCGGTCACTGCCTTTGTCATTTCGCTGAGGAAAAGTGCATCTCTGCCCACGTGAAGGGGGGCTGACCGCCATGAGCCCCATGCCTTCCCCTCCAGGCTGCCGGCAGAGAAAGCAAAGCAATCAGCAGGTGCTGTTTGCAGACGAGGTTTGAGAAAATCTCCCTCTGCCCCCTCCTGCAGGCTCTGCACACATGAGCGCTACGCGGGAAACAACAAATACAGCATTAGTCATTTCCTCCTTGCTGCCAGCTGCTGATGGTTTGCATAAGAAGAACCCTTGGACTTCAGATTATTTCTTAAAACGCCTCTCACCCCAAATCTCTCAGCAAACATTCGCTGGAAGGGCGCCTGCTCGGCCGGCCATGCGCTACTCCTCACAGCACCCAGCACCAGCCTGCACATGTTCATCTTCACCTCAACAGGAGGCCTCACCCAACGGCCCACTCAGATTGTGCTTGTGAAGAAGCCCTGTGCTCGTAATTGTAGTTAGGTTAAGGCTTAGCTGCTTCATTTGTGATTAATGCTTAGGTTACGGTGGCATCTACAAATTTCAGTTATGGATCAGGGCCTGTGTGACACAGTAAGGCTAAGTGACAAAGGAGACGGCCTTTGCCCCCAGAAAACAGATAGTCAACAAGGCAGTCAGGAAACAACTCAAGTGTAAAAAAGAAAAACAGGTGGATGAGCCAATAAAAAATAAAAAAATAATAAAAAAATAAAAATAATAATAAAAAAAAAAAGAACAGGTTGAGCAAAGAAGCCAAAGCCTCGTCTTCACAAATAAGATTTAATTTTGATGTGACACTTGCTTCCCAGTGAAGCCCAAGTTGGCAGGATGAGGGGGAATATTTCCTCATCCTGCTGGCTGGTTAGGAAGATCAGCACAGTTAGCACAGCCCCAGGACAGGCAGAAAGCTCTAAGAAGTTTCAAGAAAAAAAAAATAAAAATCTGTAGCTAACACCAACACATAAACGTATCCTTAGGAGACAGTGAGGTTACAGCAAAAATCAGCCTTATTTTCTCCTTAACCACATGGTTTCTAAGATCATTCACTAGAAGAGCAAACGTGTGTTTGTGGTGAAATGAAGCCCCTGCTCTCATTCTGCCTTCAGCATGGGCTGGTTCTGAGAGCACATCCTTAGGAGCCTCCTGTGAGCTCCATGCCCTTCACCACACACCATTTTATATTTTGCCAGATTTTAATCTTGACTTGCCACCCCTCCACTTTTTCTACACACCCTTCTGTATCAGATTCCTCCTCCTTCAGTTAGTTTATATTCTCCCTTGTCTGGTATTCCACATAAGTTTTATTCTTTTGTTTGGGTTTGTTTTGTGTTTGTTTTTTTGTTTGTTTGTTTGTTTGTTTTGGTTCATTTTGCTTTCCTTTCGTGGTGAGTTTATTACTGGGATTGTGTACAACTCTTAGGCATTACTCTTATTTAATTTATCCTGAAAATGTATGTATGTTTCCTCTCTGTCACCATGTCATCCCTGTTTGAATGCATTTTCAATTTCTTACCTCAAATAAAATGGTTTTATGTAGTAAATTGCAAAATCTGCATTACTTACCTTTACAGGAAAGACAACTCTTCAGCCCTACTCATAAATCAGTCACTTTTTGAAAAATCTGTTCTGACATGGGGCAAGCTGGTAGGAGCTTTGTGATTCTCTTTAGTGTTTCTTTTTCTTCACCCTCCCCCCAGCACCACAGTCCCAGGAAATTATTGTCTGCCTCTGAACCTGCTTCCCATCCTCTAATGTGAGCACACCGAGGCAGTGAATCCATTAATGTTTCTGGCTGTCTACCTATGCTGTCAATAAATCATGTTCACCATATCTCCTTCAGTGACCCCTTGTTCCTTACATACTTGAGTACTTTCTTATTATTTATGTTAACCTCCTCTGCAATCCCACTGCATTTTTTACCTGTTCTTGCCTTGTCATTGTTTTACTGTCTCATTTTGCAGTCATGCTCAGAACCTCTTTTTAATATCTCACATGCAGCACTTCTCACATATTTGTTATATATTTGTTCATTAATCATTGGGTTTGGAGGACAAATCATGTTCTACACTTGTTTCCCTTTTGAAAGTAAATCACAGATCTCTCCATCTTTGCTTCCTTCTAAAATATTCTATCAATGTTAATCCTAAAATATGATTTGCCTCTGAATTTGGGCTGATCATGGACTTACAGTCCTTAACCCAAACAAAATTACCTTGCCAGGAACAACAGAAGTTAAAATAAAAAATGAAGTTACATGAACGAGTTTTCTTGCTGAAACAAGAGGCCTGCAGAATATCTGTGGAAATATCTGTGGATATTCCCTTGGGACAATTTTATAGGTCTAATACAACAAACTCTATTTCTAAGTTCTACAGTCTAACATATTTTTGTTTGTTTGTTCACTTTTTAATTTGCGGGTTGGCCTCTGCTTTATATCTCCTCACTGCAGTTCCTTCCCTACCTCCCCATCTCTACATATAAGTGGAAAGAGTAAGTAGAGTTTTGCACACAAGTAGAGATACAGACACATGGAAACACATCATTTGAGTTACCCTCTTATATTCCTATAGATGATTCTGACAGTGTTGTACTAGAACTGGAATGTCCAATACATCAGAAGAAAGGTTATTTTCACAGTATTCATGCCAAAATTGCAGATGCTGGTCTTTGTAACCACTCATGCAGCTGAAGGCAAATGAGAACTAAATGCATACTCCAAAGCATAAGGGAGTATCCTCAATATAACTACTCTGACAACATCATAGGCTGATATGTCTTTTGATACCCACAGAAAAAGGGCAGATGCTCAGTGTCAGGCTAGTATTGTTTATGTGTGAATGAACTTTCCATATTATATTTTCTAATTATGTTATGCTGATATTTGTTGTGAATTTGGGAAATAGTCTTTGGCTACAAGTACAGCAGCACTAGGGATCACAATTCTAAATTGGG